TAATCTACAAACCATGGTGTTTGCACATTGGTAAGAGATTTTTTCCGTTGGCATTCAGTAGGATAATTGGTGCGTCTACGAACATCTATAATAGATAAGCTGGGCTTACGTCTTTTCTGATGAGCTGTATCCTGCATTCATTTTTTTAGGGCTAGCTTCTTCTAACAGGTGCGTGTGTGATCATGGCAAAGCCTCGAGGGCTATCTGCCTAAGGGTAGGGATGCCTTAGTGGAGGACTTTCTAAGGGAAACTGGCTCGTATACACGTTACACATGGGGAAAACCACGAAAACGCCCATGCAACCAGCCCGTTCGCGGGATTCGAACCTCGGACCGAACTACCAGTGTTCAGCGACTTTACCGCTCGGCCGCTGGTGGGCTCTTCTAACAGGATACGCTAGCTTCTTCTAGCAGGTTCGCAGTCTTTTTCTAGGCATGCCAATTATGATTAGAGAAAAGTTTATCTGAATTTGGAACTTTGCCATGACCATTTTAAGTCACCGAACTTCAGTGTTACCGAACACGTCTGGGATGGCGTACAGCTCTCTCTAGAAAAGAAAAATTCATTTTTGAATACAGTAATATAAGGAACATTTTAATTGCCTACAGAATACTGCCTCGTGCTTCTGAAATCAGTGTTCTTGCGGCTGTATGCGCTCACGGGGAATCTACGAAGCTATGTTGACTCCTTTTCTGATGAGTTATATCCTGCATTCGTTGCTGAGTTATATCCTGCAAAGTGGTGTACTAATTCTTTTTTCCCTCCGAATTTCAGTGTATAATGCTGATGCAAGCTTATTGCGTAAACAGAAAATCAGAAAATGAAAGCATTTTAATATACTGAATTTCCCTCATCTACAAGAAGTGGGACAAAATGATTGAATTTTGCAAGTACAGTTAAAGAGGCATCCTTCCAAAACAGAAAGTATTGCCACCTGAGAGAAATATTCGTTGCAAGTCTCGTGAGCAAGCGATCCAGTGAAATAAATGCGCAGCTGTGTCTTGAATAATTAAATCTTTTGTGTACTGAATAAGCTCAAAATTTCCATGTCGCGATAATTTTTGATGAAATAATATAGCAAATTTCTTTTCCTAACATTTGACACTACTATTTTTAACAGCTGATTTCAGATGCTGTTTTATATTCTATATCTTTAGTACTGGAAGACTAATTCTGTAACTATGATGCAAATAGTACCCTAATCGCAACTATTTGGCTTAAAATTATTTTAAGCGTGGAACTAGGATCAACATAAAAAGATCAGATAGAGTAAAAGTTTGTATTTTTTAGTTATTAAAATTTTTACAAACGTTTTGAAGCATTAAAAGTAAACTGTTCGAAGTATTAGATTGTAATCTGAAATTTTCAGATTTAGTGAAAAAACTTTATACATTTAAATATTTCAGTTTACAATTGAATATGTTTTTCTTAAATACTACTTAAGCTAAACACTACAGTATTAGTTATTTTTATTATACGTTTTGTAACAATCTACATCAAAGATGCCGCAACCCACGACAACATTAATTTTTTTATTATTATTATAATTGTGATAAATAGCCGCTCGCGCGGCTCACCTTCGATCGGGCATGCATACAATCTTGCGATTTACATATGTCAGACCGAAGGCTGGCCGCACAAGCTGCTAGTTTTAAAAAAGAATATAATATTACATATCAAAATAAAATCAAGAAAATGAACTTGTAAAATAAAAGGCTGAGGAAAATATATCTAAAAATATAAACTGCAAATATTACAGTAAGTTATAAATGACATGGAAGATTTTTATTGCAACTAATATAAAATGTCTATGGACTCTGAAACTTCATTGTTTTATGCACTAAATCGGAAAGAAAAATGAGGTGCATAAGTCGATATAAGTATTAAATGAAAAAGCCATATTTACAAAACGAAAAAAAAAAAAAAAAAAAAAAATAGTAACATTCATGTAATGATATAAAACTTCTATAGAAAGCCTGACGTCTTTGCAAATAATTTTAGCAAGGAAAAATGGAATTTATATTAGAGAAATCTATATGGAAAAAGAAAATAGTAATCCAGTGGATCCATTTTACTTCCCGGAAAATCGTGATGCCCACTGAAGAAAGGGAACTTCCCGTTCTGTTTTGTCATCCAGCACCATATTTAAAAGAAACTTTTAGAACATTTCTGTGCTTATACTTTCTTATCATTATTGTTTTAAAAGAAGACAAAGAGTTAATTTCAAACTTTTATGAGAAATGCTTTATCGGAGGTCGAAATTTCAAAATTCTGAAAGTGAAATAGCCGATCGAGATATTTTCAAAAAATCTCCAAGAATCAGTAAACTATGTTAAAAATTCAATATAAACTTCACTTAAAACATTTTTACCATTCTATCGGATGATGCAAATAGTAAAATTATGAGGTTTTTAATTTAATTTAATTTAATTTTTGTTCAGCTAAGGTAGGTGCAGAAGTTTCACAGAAAATTATTTCCGTATTAAATGAAAGAAGTCTAAATCCAATTTTTAAAAAATCTCTTCCGAGGTGTGCACTTTCATTAGTATTATATTCGAAATTTCGTAGCTCCTACGAGGAAGTGTAACTCACTTACTCTTAATTCTTTGTCGAGAGATATAATTATTATTGAATGCGACTTCGTGATGCATGTGCCTTTCCATACTTATTTTGATAGCACATAATGTGCAAATAATATACATATTTCAAGTAAAGAACATTTAAAAACTGATTCTCGTGAATCTGCTGTTTTGCATGCGCAATTTTAGTATTCCCATTAATTTGCTTTAAATTTTAAGTATTGAAATTTAAGGACATAAAATATTTCTTAAAAGCATAGTATTTCGCTATTGTATTTCGAATTTATTTTTATGTAATCTTACATTTGGTCTTCCTTTTCAACTATTTGCAAAACTGTTTGTAAAAGTAACTTGGAATAGCTAGCATAAATTTTATTTATTATCCCAAGATCTATTCTGATAAATTACCCGTATTTTTATTTCTGTGATATATTCTGAAGTGCTTTCTATACGAGCATAATGACTCCCTCCCAGTTCCAATTCTCTTCTGAAATTAGCACAGATGTTGATTTATTAACTTAGTTATAATCATAATTAAAAAATAAAAGTGTCGCTTTTCCTAGGTGCATACATATTTATGGGATTTAAAGGGAAACGAAAAGTTTAAAAGGAAAATTTTAGATTATGCATAAGAATGCTGTACCTACTATGATTTTAAATGGGAACTATTCTACTAAAATATTATAGATAAGTTATTGAAAACTATAAAGAATAAAATAAGAAAAATATTATCCATTATTGTGCAAACCTTTCAGCTATTAAAGAACATGGTTACAAATTGTTTCCTAAAATATTGAATATTTTTTAGACTCTTTCTGTAAGAAAATTAAACTTCAAGGGCGAGTGTTCTTAGGTAATGCATCTAAACAACTGTAGCTGTAGGAGAAGCAGTAACAGTATTTTGTCGTTTCATCTTACATACATCATGTCGTACATCTTACATTTTGTTGAACCATTTTTATCAACTGATGCCTATAGCTCATCAAATGTTATAGAGAGAAAGCGTTGCGAGAAAAAATTAGATCTCTGCTGTCGTAAATAATATAAATATGTAAAGGAGCGGTCACTATCAAAATCACCATGTCAAATTCAGTAATTCTGTTCTGATTAACTATATTAACATGTGAATATGCAAAAACACTGTGATTAGATTTTTCTTAACAGTGCTATATTTATATATTTCTTCCTCTAAATGTCGAAAATTGTTTCTACGAGTAATTAGGGAAAATGCCTTTCGAAACGGCTTCACCTTCATTTAGTTTGTATAACCCTGTGTGGAGCCTAACTGTTTTAACAAAATAATTCTCTTGCTCTGTGTAGACAATCAGTAGATTTTATAGCCGAGGATTAGTTTTCCATTAAAGTAACACCAACTCGGAAGAAAGTTTAAACCAGAACATTTTATTAGAATGTCAGTCTAACAATTTTTACAGCTTGTTTAATGGCAGTTCTCCGCTGCTTGCGGGATTAAAAGAATATAAAAGTTAAGGTGAAGTATATTAAAATATGAAGTTTACAAGTCCGCCCGATAAGGCCCTCAACTTACACGAGAAAACACGGGTTCAACTTACACGAGAAAACACGGGTAGCCAAAACTAAAACCGATTCAAGTCAATTTAGAAGCTGGGCAAAAATAGCAGTGAGACAGTGAGCGGTCACCATCAAAATTACCATGTCAAATTCAGTAATTTTGTTCTCATTAACTAATTTGCATCCTGATGGAAGTTGACAAAAGTAGAAGAGATAGTACTGACAAAATAATAAAATAAGAGGTTAATAAATATAAAACACTACAACCGGAGTTCTGCCAATCGGGATGAAGAAGTTCGGAATAGATTTGACAATAGGAAGTCTTAGTTTTTCAGCCTAAGAAATATTCTTTGTCCATAGATTACACTCCTTCACTTTTTATCTACTTTTTATCACAACTTCACTTTTTATATCATCTGTGTGATATATTTCTCGAAGCTAGGGCTATGGTATTGAGCTTTGCAGCTTTTTATTACTTAATTTCTTTCATGTCGGCTCACTTAAAGTTATCGATGAGTCCTATGTAATACCGCAACTATGTCTTTTCACTTGCCATAGTTTTTACTACTAGATTTTCGTCAATCAGGAAACAACTATGCTCACTTCATATATTTTCTTATACTCGTTTGGGAAATATGAAGGTTAAACAATGATGAAGAGGATAGCATTTTCCATATCTTATCCTTGTTTTTAATTTTAATTTTCTAAACTATACAATGTTTTTAAAAAATGGTAAAAATAGAATAAAATTTCTTCGCTGCATATTTTTCTGTTTAAATATTTATTTTATAGAGGAAAACTTTTACTAGATTATTAGCAAAAATTATAGCATAGTTGTTTATGTTTCATATATTCCTAGAAAAATGTTCATATCTGTTTACTTTGTTTCAGCTGTTGAAGATTTGGGTGATCTTGAGCCAGTTCTTGATAGGCCTCAAAGTTTTGCAGATATAGATGGTATAGAACCGGAACAAAAAGCTGAAATTTCACTGGAACCTGATTTGAAAAAACAGAAAACAGAAACTTTAAAAAGACAAGATTCTCTAACGAAAAAATCTACTGATTCTTCTGCACCCCAAACGCCTACAGAAGAAACTGCTGCTTTGCCTTTGACTAGGCAAGATTCGATTAAAAAAGAGCCCAAATCAGCAGAGTCTTCAGTTCCTAGCACTCCTACTGATATTTCAAGTAAACCGCCACGACTATCAAGGCAAGATTCTGCGAATAAAAAACAAAAATCAGCAGAATCATCAGCACCTCAAACTCCGACTGAAACCAGTGCGAACGAATCTTCTTTAGTGAGGAAAGATTCTATCAAAACGAAGTCTAAATTTGCTGAAATATCTGAGCCTTCGACTCCAACCGAAGAAAAATCTGTTGAACCTCCTTTAGTGAGACAAGACTCAGTTACGAAGAAATCTGAATCAGCGGAGTCATCTGAATTACGAACACCTACTGAGAGTAGTACAGAAGCACCTTTACTGACCAGGCAGGATTCTGTGAAAAAGAAACCAAAAAGAATATCATCCGTTACTGAGAAAGAGACTGAAGCAGTTACTCTAGTCTCTGAAGAAAGTGAAAATACAGTATTGACTAGACAGGAATCGTTGTGCAAGAAGGAAAAAATTTCAGTTAGTGAAAAACGAAAATCTGAAATAGAAACCGTTGAAGACAATAGCACTAAAACAAAAGTACGGAGGCAAGACTCATTGAAGAAAGAAGTTAAGAAAGACACATCGGATACAGCAGAGCAATCGAAAGAGAAAACCGATTTCGAATCGAAGCCTGCTAAAACTACCGAAGAGAAGCAAATCAAAGGTGAGGCTTTCAAACCTATAATACCAACAATTATGTCCGAAGATGCATCAGGATCGGATGCGAGATTGGAGAGTATCGAATTTGGCGAAGATAATGCGACGCTGGCGAGTGAAAGTCTGCGTTCTGATGAAAGTTCGCCTGCAAGTGGTGCGTATGAGAAACCTTCCTTGACCATTTCCGCTTCTTATTACCATATGTTATTCCTCATCCCTTTTCTGTGTGCATGTTATGTTGTAACCCAAATATTAGGAGTTATAAAATGGGAGTAAATGCAACATACGATCGGAAAATTTTTTTTTAAAGTTATATGGAATGTTTAATGAAATGGAATTAAACATTGAACAACGTTATCGCAGCCATATAAGACAAAAGTTTAGGAGCTTGAAAAAGTACATTTCTATTGTTAATTTCTTACAAGTATTCAACATTTGAAGCTGTCATAAATGTACTAAGGCAGATGTATTATGTATTTTCTTGCAAGTACAAAATTAATTGATTCAATATTTTATTTTCTAGGAATCTTGTAGATAAAAATCGTGTAGTTGGCTTGTGAATTTGAATTTAATTTTAAATTAATATAATAGAGTTGCAAAAGGTGCTATAAAGTAATTTTTGATAAAACTTTAAAATAATTCTTTAAAAAACTATTATTGTTTTCAAAAGGCTGTAAAATTTTTGCGCATCTGCTTTTAAAATGCGATTGTACTATATCCAAATCAGAACTACTTTTTTAATTCCAATATGTGGTATTTTTTAAAGACTACGTCATACGTATTGCTATCTGTACATCACAAAACGTGCTGTTTATGCGTAGTTCAGAGTATCATTTTCATTCAGACCATTTTTTGCAGGCAAATTTAAAAGCACTCTATTTTTGTTTTAAAAAACTACATTTACAAAAATTTGATTTAAATAATAACAAGCAGGTAAAATAAGTGACATAAATAAAACATTATTGCTGTTGCAAGCGCTTTTGTGTTACATATAAGGGAAAATGTTTTCAACAATATTCGAAATCTTTGCTACATATAAATGAATCATAAACTTCTGGAAAACTAGAACCAGCACTTATTCTATTTTGTCTAAAATATATTCTATAGTAACTTAAATTAGTCTTGTAATTAATCTTTAAAATTAAAGATTTTTTAGAATTTACTTTAAATGAATGTAGGTATTTATTTATACAACATATGTTTAACAAAGTAGGGAATAATATTTTTCATTAATGATTTCAGAGCTTTTACAATATGCAAGCTAACTGTAAAACTTTTTTCTTCAGACTTATAAATATTTTTTTCACTTTCTCTACTTGCTTTCTTTTAACTTTATTAAACTGCTATTATTTAAATGCTTTCACGGGCACTGAAAATTAATGTTTTTAGATTGTTTATAATTTAAAGGCTTTAGAAAACTAAAAATATTTCTTCTATCATGATACTGATTGCGTTGCTGTTGCTTTATGCTTTAATAATTTAATTTTTCTGAATCAGCAGTTTAGTATATGTGTTTGTATTAATTTTTCTGAGATCGTCAGAATTTAGAACATACGTGTTTTCATTCAGCATTTAAATACTTTTAGTATAGAGTGAATTTTTGTGATGCTTGAAATTTTTAAGGATCTTAAATGTAAGAAAAGTATGTATTAAGTTAGAATTATTTTGATTGTGTGTTTATTCTGTATGCATAGAAATCCAAATGAACAAAGGTCAAACTAAAGTATTGTATTCGTATCATGAATTTTGTGTGAAATTTTGTATTTAGGAATGAGTGTGATAAATCTTAGGGCCCAAAGGAATGAAATTAACCACATTCCTCACTTGATAAAATACCAAAGTGTCCAGTTTTTGCAATTTACCTGCACAGTTTTGAACTGTTTTTGTTAATCTTTTTAAAAGGGATATTTTTATATCTGTACATAGTGTACATTGAAGAAATATTAAACAGATTTGGAAAACCTTAAACTTGTAAATAGTTTTCTTTTTGTCTGATTTTTTTATTTTCACTGAAAACATAAAGAAAATATAGAAACACATTCTCATACATTTTTCATAGTCAGAGAAAATTATTTATATTGCTACTTATCTTTTATTTACATTTCTTAGCTTTTCCAATTCGAAAATGATTACCTAAAACCTTTAGAAAGAATTCTTTATCAATTAATGTTTCAAAATAAAATCTTTATTCTGTAGACGTCTGCAAATATTAATTGAGCGCCTACATTTCATTTTAATATTAGAAAATATTTAATATTTTAAGTTTTGAAAACAAACAATATCTAATTTATAAAAGTGATCTTTTAAATATTGCATAAACTTCTTTTAAAATTGTTTCCTGTCTCCTTAATACAGCACATTTACTAAATAAACTGTGTATAGTCTTATGCTGATATTTTCTTTAGTTTGTCCTTTGTTCATCAAGATAAGTGTAATATATCACGTTTTCTTTTAAGTGGTTTTTAATTAAAAAATTCAAGTATCATTTCATTGAAACTTTAACAGCTAAAAAAGACAAACAAAAATACATAATAAATAAATTCGGTTTTCTAAATAATTCTTGAATATTTAAAATATAAATATGGTATGAATATTTTAAAAACAGATAGATAAATATGACTTTTTATAAGATTTTAAGAAATTCATTATTCTTTTGCGATTTTTTTTGTTTTGTTTTTATGATATATAAGAACAATAATACATATTATTAATTTACTTACTGCATAAAAAGATTATGAACAAATTAAAAATTATTTGTGAAAGTTAAATTGAGTACATTTTTTTTTTGTTTAATGGGGAGTATCGGGAATATAAAATTTAGAAATTAAATTCTGATGATACGAATTTAGTTATTTTAGTCTTATCTGAAACTGCTTCTTTGAATTTCTTCTTTGTAGGCATTATTTACGCTTTTAAATTATTTATTTAGATTGCATATTGTATCGTATGAATAGAAATTCTGAATATCACATATTTATTCTTTTGCACAAAGTTATCGAGTGTAACTTCAGTACTTTACTAAGTTCAAAGAATAACTTAGAAAATTAACTTTTCAAAGTCTGTTTATGCATCTTTTTTACTTATTTCTTTCAAGGTATTTCGGTATTATTTACGCAAGGAAATAAAATTAGGACTTTCAACAATTTTTAATTTCAGTGACAAGTTTTACAACCTTATTAAGTACACACAGTAATAAAGTAACAAATCAAATTTTCATATTTGTTTGTATTTCTTTTAATTTATTTGTTCAAATCGCAAATGTAAATGACATTCGTTGATTAATTTATTTAAAGTTAGTTATGCAAAGAAATAAAACTAAAACTTCTGATAATTTTTAATTTTAATTACATTTCTTGTCTTTCTGCAGCACTGATGAATGTTTACGTCAAAATCTTAGTTTATTACATAAAAACATTTTATTGTAAATTACATGAGTTGCAAATCTTTCAGGTCCACTTAGTTTTCTATAATCTGAGTATATCTGAGAAAAAGATGCAGGAACCTTGAAAATTGTAAATCAATGTCTTAAATGTCTGCATTGACTCTACATACAGGAATACTGAACAAAAAATAGTTATCTGTCTGATTAGTTTTCATACTACTTATTGCGAATGGCATCATTTTATTCGCTAATAAGCAAGAGTCAAGGACTGACGCGGGATGAAATGATATGTTTATAATCTTTAAAATATAAAGAGTTATGTAATTTCCTCACCAACGAGATGTAGTCAAAATATTGCTTGTATGTTTGTCAGGACTACTGTTCCTTCTAATTGCCTTGGGAAACGTCCAGAAATCCTGAGTGGGAACAGGGAGTTTACTCAAGCTATGTTCGTGTGTGCGTGGAATAGACAAACAAGTCAAGAAGGGTTAACTTTACACTTTATTTCTCACAACGAATAGGCGCTTCCGCACTTCGGGATACAGAGACCAACACTTTTGGTCTAAAACGTAAAAAACAAGAAATATTCACTTAATAACTAAATTAAATAAGAATTAAACTTAAATGCTTTACAGAGACTATTAACGCGAGGATCGGCCTTTTGAACCTGCGTATGTAGTGAGCTAGATGCAAATACTACAATACGCCTATTATATCAGCAGGAACTAAGTTCTGGCCTAAAAGCAGACACGAACTGTCTGAAAAGCACGCACGTAGCAGGGCAGCAATAAGGCTGTCTCTCTCCGGCTAGAAACCACTTCTTAAATACCTTTGACAATTTGCAAACTCTTCAGCATAAAAATCCTACTCTCTCTTGTTCTGGCCGTAAATGGAAAATAAGAGAGGATAGCAAAGTTTAAAATAAAATAAACGTTAGTAAAACTTAAAATCCTTATACGTTCAATGTAGGTTTTCGTATAATTAAATTGTATTTTGTTATATATCATAGTATCTCTTCATTTTAGGAATTATTGAAGTAACGTCGGGTAGACGTTATTTATTGTGTTACTTTTCAAAGCTAGCCTTCATTGCGAGACGCGCAACATAAAATATTTTGGCGACAGGATACAAACCTGCAGTCTTGTGATTCGAAGGCCCCCGGTTCGAATTCCGGCAAGAATGCCAGTCTACTCCTCCCCAAAAGGACATTTTTGATAGAAAAAGCATGTACACAAGAATTATTTCACGCATTATAGAAATTGTATATCTTTGCAGGGCTTGTTGAAAACTCTTATTTTTAAAAGTTCGCAGAACTGCGATGTCTGTCCAAACAGATTCCGAGGCTGCATCTTTTCATCTAAAATTAGTTTTCGGTAATTTGTGTAGTACTTTAGATTTTGCATAATTTATCTGCTTACCGCAGTGTTCAACAAAGCTATTTAATCTGACTGTAATAAACCGTGTGTTTCGTGTTTCATTCTACTCTAAATCTGTAATATAATTCCTCTACTAACTAGTTATCTTAAAGTATCTTTTTGTATTTGATCCTCATTAGCATAAAAGGAAAAAGTTTACTTTTTTGGATAGAAAAATAGAACTATTCAAAAACATTGAAACATTATTAACTTTATTTTGTACCTTTTTTCGTAGATTTTAATGTTCATTTATTTTACTGTTAGTTATATCCCACCTATAACTTTCCACCATTTACATGGAATGGTCCACATCACTATATGTTCACTTTGTACATCAGTGTTATAATATTTTTATTG